TACAGGCAACAAAACATCTCCTTCCCTTAAAATCTAAAGGCTGTTTAAGTGCTTCATCTTCAACTGTAAATTACCAACAGATGTGTGTAGGTAGGAGTTTAAATAGGAAAAATACTGCATGCAGTTCCTAAGTATTTGGCTTTGATGCTAATGTTTAGGTTACATTGCATGTGTAACCGATGTTAAAGAGGTCCCGAGAACTACGAACATGATTTTTCTAAAAATGTGTCACCAAGTTCAATAAACATTTTTCAGCTCTAACGGTAAACATTAGAATAACAGAATAGTTTGGTTTCTTCATAAGTCGGTACTGTATTTGTGACCATTTATAACCATTTTTCAAGGGAAAGCCAATGATGCAGCCCATGGCAAGAAAGGTTTATTACTAGACTTTTCTGCAGTAGTTGCAATATTTTTCTAGGTCCATTGCCAATTGTTTTCACTTCTGTATAATTTTATAACATTTTAGATAACAAAAATAATATGTATTTTCCTTCCTATGTGGAAATGTTTCCACTTTTGTTGGAAACAACACAAAAGCAGTCGTAGAAGAAACTACTCATGAGAATGTTCTAGTACATGAAGTGTTTTCCATGAGAGATGTATTTTTGTACTACAAGCTTCAATCATTGTTAACCGCAGGCAACAGCTACAAGAAAAAGCTGACATTTTCTGATACCAGCAGTGACCTTTTCCCCACCTGAAGCTAATCTTGCTGTCACTTCATGTCATTTATCTTGTGACTGTTTATGCTCACTCAAAAGACCATGACCCTTTGCTCCTGCTACTGTGTGAACTGTCATTAATCCTCTAGTCAGCTGATGCTGACTAATCATTCATTTATTCATCATTTTGAGTTTATGTCAGATCTGTCCAATGTGCTTTAAATAATGAACCAAGTCCTCCTGTAGGACGCTGAGCTGCATTTTTGGCCACTTCCATGTGAATGTGCACAAAACACAAAAAAGACATGAATACATTTCTAGATCACAGGAGGTTCCCTGGTAACACAATTCTTGTCCAAGTAGGGCTAGTAGTAGTTTTTCCTTCTGAATCGAGTCTAAGGATAGAGGGTGTCGTATACTGTACAGTTTGTGGTTTGTGATATTGGACAAGTGTATCTGTTTAAAGTTAAATGACTAAATATATATTAATTTTTTGTAAATTATCCACTTGGTAATGTGTTGGAAACTCAATTTATTTGTTTAAAAAAATACCTCCAGACATGTTTGAAGACATAGATTTAATTCATCAACCACAACAACTTTAAATTAATTCAATATACAGCTACGATGCAATATGATTTCTTCTTCTTCTTTCCTAAATGTTAATTATCAATGTGTGTGCACTAGAGGTTTCACATTTCCACATCAACCTTGTGTGAGTTGCTTATTGGAGCCTGACTGGCTCCAAACAGAGCAGATGAACGTGAAAATAGACTTCTAGTGTCAAACTCTGCCCAAACAACATTCTGCATAATGATGGTCAAACGTCCAAGTGAGGGAAATTTAAATACTGGAGAAGCCAACAGTCACTTAAAGACTAAGACATGATGTATTTACTTTTTAAATATTTACCCAAAACACTTTTTCTAACATTGACCAAATCAGTCTTTTCCTAACCACAATCAAATTTATGTAAAGTACAAGGAGGACACAGGATGTGAACACCTTCCTAGGATATCAACATACAATACCGTAATACTTTCTTGACCGGATAAAAAAAAAAACATGGAATACTCAAGGCAATAACATTCCACTAAAATATATTTGACAGAACAATTTAGTAGGATATAAATGAGATTTTTCTAGCAGATAGGGTTGCAACGGTAGCAATCATCATTATTGTTAACTCTTTCTATAAAAACATTTTTCATAGGGTCTGACTATCCAACTCACTATCTGTAGTGTCATTTCAAACTCAAAGTAAAGGAAGATGCCAAACAATAAAAACCCAATTAGTTGTCTTCTTGGGCTTGAAAATTCATAGACACTGAATTACTAATCACTTAATTTGATAAAATGACTGATGACTCCAGTCATGAGCAAATATCAATAAATGAAGGACAGACACACCTAATTCATGAGCAGATTTAGTCCCCATGAATGTGCTGGTGGTATCATTTGGACATTAGTTAACTACTTTTATTGTGAGATTGAATAAATAAGATGGTTGTTCCCTTCCAGTTTCCGCTCCGTATCTATATGATCTGTAGTAAAAAATGACATATAACCTTGATGGGCTACATTTGTTTCTTCCTGTGTTTTCCATGCTGTAACAGCATGGAGGAAGCGGGTTATTCCCGTTAGGTGCAGTTCACCATGATTTATTTGTTGTGCTGATCATACAGTTTGTCATCCCCATGGTGCATCATGAGGAACATAACCTCATCTGTCTGCATTTAAACAGTTGGCACAATGTGGATTTGGTTGCTCAAGATGTGCACAGTTGTGTACATTGAGATGAAAGCAACACAAATTAGGTTCCCACAAGATGTTCAACATTCTGGGAAACATGTGTCCGTTTGATCATGATCAAGTTCCAGGTAGCAGTCAGTTCACTTAGCTTAGCATTAAGACTGGAAACAGCAGGACAATGGCATGAGAGGAACCTGTGAGACGGGAAAGAACAAAAACTCCAGAGAAGATGCCAAGTTCATAACATGCATTGATGGGACATCGAAAAAAAAATGAAGTAAGAGTGCCCTCATAGATGCCCCTATGATAGATAAAACATGTTAAATTTCCCTCTAGGGTGCTAACCATGGCTAAGCTGTTTTACCATAAATGCATCATGACTTTCTGCACCCTGGACACTTTTTAAATGCCCTTGTAAAACCAGCTAATGGTTGACTTCTGGGTTGAAAGTTGAAGTGCTTCCTGTGTCTGAAGCAATTGCAACATTTCTCATGGAATCTTACCTGAGGTGTTGAATGTGTTGTGTCAAGGAACATAAATAAATGCTCTTATGGGTTAGGGTTAGGGAGATGAGAGAGAGAGTGAGAGTGTGTG